GCATTGTTCAGCTGTATTCATACCTGCTGAGCTATTGTTCTGCGAGGTGTGTCTTTAAGTAAAAAGCAAAGCTGAGCATTTACAGGAAGGGACTCTCACAATGGCTGTCATTTGTTTTGAAGATTAAAGTTGTTTATATGACTATCGGGAACTGCGGAAGATAAAATACCTATGCACAACAAGTGGAAACACAAGGCTTCTTCCTCCTCAGTCAGCTCCTTGCCACCAGGCTGGTTAACTCACGTCGGTTTCGTGTGGTGAAAGGCACACAGCAGCTCTTACACCAGACTGTACGAGGATTTAGTGGCTCAATTGACTGGAATAGCTTTCTGTTTTTTCTTGGAAGGTCACTTTTACCAACACAAAATCTTTGCATAAAAAGATGTTTTCAGTTGTGTGTTTTGAAAGTGTTTCCCTTTATTTCCATTCAGCCTAAATAATAGAAAGCTGTAGGATCTGATCATGTGCAGCCTCTCCTCGTCTAGTTAATTACTCTGGTCATGAGGGGTAGTGTGTCAGTAGAGTATAGGACGCTAGATTGACAATTAGCAGCCCAAGTTTTTGTCCATTACTGTACAGGGAAATGATATGTTGTGAAGCACTTCATCTCTCCCAGGTTGGTTGGTTGGTTTGTTGGTTTGTTTTGTTTTTTGTTTTTCCCTGTTATTTTGTGATGTCTGTTTGGATTAAGACAAAAGTTTTATTTCCACATCTTTGTACAGCATGTCAGATAACAAGACTGGGATATTTTTCTGAGACTTTTGACAATTTTAAATTAGTGATTCTGTTGATCAGAAATTCTTCCTCTATCTCTGTTTTTTTACATGTTTTGAGATCTGACTTCAACATAAAACTACAAGTCATATATTAGTGTTCAGTCCCACTCCTTTTCATGGCCTTTTACTTAGACTGCAAGTAAGAGAAACTATAAAACTGTAAGACACTATAAGAAAAACTAGCTATGCAAATATATTTCTGAGTGGTTCTTTCCCCCTACAACTTCTGAAGATAAAATATTGCAGTCATTTTAACTGATCTGAAATGTCTTGGCAATATCAAATTTATACCTTATCCTGAAGAGGGAGTTGCCAGTGGCAGTTTTCCTTTTTTGAAAAAGTACTCTAGATATTTCTTCCTGGACACTACTTCAAAGACAGCAGCAGTGGTTAACTATGAAAAGAGCACTAGCAGCACATCCAGGTTTTTGTTTGGTTTGAGGAGAATCTGGTCTTCAGTAGAAAGGAAAAAATACATACTACGTTTCTTTATAATGTTGAACAGAGGAAAATCATCTAAGAACTATTTCATTAGGTCATCTTGGAGACCCAGCAAGGGGTGCAGGGGGAAGGAAGCAAAGTCTTCCTATCAAACACAGACCCTTTAGTAGGAAAGTAGATGAGCCTTGCACAGTGCTGTGAGGATCAGCTAACCATCAGTTAACCACAGCCCATGTTAAACCAGGCGAATTCCAAAGGGGAATTTCCATTGCGAAGGTTTTTGCCGCTTCTCGGGCGTTGACGCCTAGAGACTGGTGCAGAGGCTTCTGCTAACAATCAACCACTGTGGCAGTGCAAGAGCAAAAAGCTCCAGAGGCTGCTTGGTCTAATGGAGAAAAGACCCATTAGTGGTACGCCTTCCAGCAGCTGAAGGCACTGAGCTATAAATGGTTTCTTCATCTGTCCCAGCAGTTTTACATCTCCCTTGAGCAGATGTGCTGTACTGGAGCACTTCTCCCGAGTTCTCTGTGTTTCAGTGGATCTGCTGTGTTTCCAGAGGGTGGTCTTTACCTGCTAGACATGAATGCCACATATGTATCCAGTTGGGTAGTGAAAATAAAGAGCCCAGGGGTCGGGCTTCAGTGAGGGGAACTGCTGAGGTCATTCTTGTTGGGTTTTGTTCACTTCCTCCTAAATGAGAATGTTTAAAGACACAGGTGCAATCACTGTTCTCTATTTGAGATCAGAATTAGAGGTCAAGAAAATTGGGATGTTAACCCCTGAATCCTTAAATAGTCATTCCAAAAATCAGTATTTCAAGACCAACAACGTTGTTGCCATTAGGATTTTTGGGTTGGTGGCAGTAAGGGTTTTACTCTTAGTTCTTGTTGTGAGGCGCAGGGTAAGCAGGGACAGGATCTGTCTTAAAAGAAAATTGTTTGCAGCATAGGGTGGCAATACAAGGTGGCACTGGGATTCTTACCTGCCATGAATACACAGGGGTTTTATGTTATGTACACCTTTCTGCTTCCCCATGTCCTTGGAGTACAGGACTCTATATCCCAACACAATCCCCTCATTCACCTGCCTTTTTCTTGTGATTCGCCAACTCCATGTACACCAACAGACATCACCTTTAGTACACTGCTGGGAAGAAAAGGCAAAAATTTGCAATAGGAGGAGGCAACTTACTCCTTGGAACAAAAGCCTCACAGTCATACTGCCTCAGGTATGGGGAGGGCAGCAGAGGCACAGCAGCAACATTTATAGTAGTAAATTAAAGAGCTGGGGTGAATGGAGGAATGTTCCCAGACACTAGAGCTTGAAAATCCATACTGTTAAGTCGTCAGAATAGCCCTTGGCATTGTTGGCCCAACCTGAAACACACTTTCCCAAATGATTTCTGGATGTGGTTTGTGAGTTAACACAAATCAAGGGCCTGGGGACAACTGGTAGGTTGCTTGCATTGATCATGTCTGCGTGGGTAAGAGTTTAATGGTATAGACCAGAAAACAACCCCAGTTGCATTTAATTTGTACAAATAAAGGTGTTTGGGTTAGGTACTGTTGTTCTGTGTCTCCTTTTGATGTCATATAACAGTATCAGAACCTAAGTTTTATATATATATATTTTTAATATCCCTATTTGTTATTCAAAATAACTGTTAAAGTATTCTTGGTGAAATCTGGAGCTAATTCTTTTTTTTTTTCAGTTTTTAAATTGACTGGAGTTCAGGTACAGCACTGTATTTGAAAAATAGTAATAAAGTTCTGTCTGAGTGACCTTGCCTGAAAGTAAGATAAATATGATGATATTCCTGTTCTTTCTGGGTCCGTGTATGTACTAAATATAAATATTTTCATTCTGTTGGCAGTGTAACAGTCAAAAGCTTGATACTATTTCACTTGTCTTGTGTCTTGTATTTCTTGTAAATAGAAAGTGTCTGTTTTGAATTCCTTGAACTTGAAAGTTCTTCTGTATGAAAAGCATCTAGAAAGATGTGAGTTGAGTCATAAAAACAGTAAGGATAACAGAACTATGTCTTCAGGTATCTCATGATCTTCCTTTCTGGACAATAATGTTTTACAGAGTAATGTCACAACTGCAGTAGAAAGGGAAAAGGTCTAGAATGTGCAAAAGCTTTTAAGGTTCTCTATGGAAATACTTAAATCTGCTTCTAAAAGAAAATATTAATTACCAGATTGTTCCCGTGACTTAGAAGCTGGTGTTACATGAAACTGTATTTTGTATGGAAGAGAGAAAAGAAAGGATTAGAACATTGTGGTTACTTGACTGCTGAATGATCAGGCACATACAGCAAATTTGGAATCCTTGTTCAGAGGTTGTTATTTACATACATACAAAGGGGGTTTTGTTAAACAAACATGCTGTGTCTTTAATTCAGCTCACAGTTCTACCTGAAGAAAACAAGAAGCTACCAAATAAGTGAAGCTAAGAGGGCTCTTTCAAACTTATTTAGCATTGTTCAAAAGTTAATTGCAGCATCCAATATTTTGGAACACCACTATTTATGCTACCTGTGTTTGAGACATCTTAAAGGGCGTGATTCTGAGGAGTGAATAACTACCACATTTATATTAGCATGTCAGCTTTTCTTATTTTTCCAGTGCTCATAACAAGATAAAAGTAATTTTGGAATATTGATCTGGGGGGAAAAGGGGATAGTTGTCTTTGATCAGAAAGAGGGAAACTGAAGCTTTCCTATGAGTAGAGACAGCTCAGACTTTGTGGGTGACTTTCCTTTTTCGAGTGGGCAAAAGGTGCTTCTCCTCTCTTCTTCACTCTCCAATTTTGGGTAGATCCTAATTTGGATTCATACTTCATGGCATCACTTATTTGCTAACCCTTTGCAAAGGCTTGAAATCTTTCTGTTTAATGGTGTAGCTACTTTCCTGCTCTGTGAAACTGCCAGTCACAATTTCTACCACTTCATCACTTTGCAGAATTTGCTTGGTATGAGGTAGTCATAACTGGAGCTGCTGAATTTCAGATTCTGGTTGTTTCAGCCAACAACTGTATTTAATGGCCAAAGCAGCTGCAATGTTTTGGGTGGGTTTGTTTGTTTGTTTTCTGTTTAAGTAAGGTCGGAATTTTCACTTTCTTTCTGAAAGAACCATGCCTTCACACAGTAAAATGCAGCACTTAAAGAAAACAATGCCACAACAAAAGAAGCCCTGATAATTTCCCTAAATGCTATCTTTAACTTAGAGAAGGTAAATAAAGTGCTTAGATTTCCCCTACTCAGATATCTAGTGAATTTATTTTCTTTGGTTTTTTTTTCCTTTTCCCAGCATTTTTTTATTTTCAGCACAGGGTGTGGGAGTGGGTTGTGTGTGTGAAGAACTCAAATCCTGAACCACTGTCAGAAAGTTCTTGTTATTGTCTAACTTCATAAAACAATTAGTGGATAAAGGTTTTTCTCTCATTGTCATTTCACTACTACCTACCACAAAAGAAGGATCTGTGCAATCTTTGGTCACACAGTTGATATCCTTTTGTATTATAAACAGCCATATTCCTTTCTACACCTATCAAAGTAGTTTACCTTTTTTCCTGTTTGTTGATCTTAAATGCTCAGTTTCTTCTCCCTTCCATCCTTTGCTCTCCTCTTCCTCCCAAGTCTTCTATTTTCCATACATCCACCAGCTTCATATGCTGTACCTATGAAACATAAAACGAGACCTAAGTGACACTGGGAGAAATACTTTCATCCACTGTTCAATTCCCCTTGTTATAACACAAATCTTGTTTTCTGTTCACTAGAATGTTATGGAACAGTTCAATCCAGGACTGAGAAATTTAATAAATCTGGGGAAGAATTATGAAAAAGCTGTTAATGGTAAGTCTTCTAGGTACTAACTTTAGAAAAAATGATTAATTTTCATTTAAATGCATGTATTGGATATGGCACTTGTGTATAAGCTCAATCTTCAAGCTGAACTTTGTTTAACTGGGGGGGGGGAAGAAGCACAAGCATCCAAACATGTACCTTCTCTTTTTCTTCTTTTTTTTTAATTGACCTGCAGAAGTTGCATCCCAAACACTTAGGCACAGAGCTACTGCCAAATAAACTGAACATAAAGTGTAAATAATCCATATTAGAGTAATATGAATGAAAAAAGAACCAAAATAAATTAGATGTTCTTTTTTTTTTTTTACCTGTAAATATCTTCCAAGGATATTTCACATTCTCATCTGTTCCTGCTTATCTATATCCATCACTACCATAGTAACTGTGAGCAGAACAACCTGAAATAATAAGAGTTGCAGGAGTGGTTTAATTTGTTTTTGTTTTTTTTCTTTGTCCATAGTAAACATGATGCTGTCTTGTTAATGAAGTCACAATCAGAATGAATAAATTTGAATCTTAGGACCCAGGCTCTCAAACCTTTTATAATGTAGCTGTTTACTTTCATTGTTGACTTCAGAGAAACTATCCAAGAATGGGTTTCCAAGACTGGGCTCTAGATTCCCAAAGCTTACATTGCAGGACCTGTTAAAGCTTGCTGTGTTTCACCTATGCAGACCTGTTGAGCTGCTTGATACCATATTAAAGCAATGTAAAATCTTTCAAATTCTGCCTCATTCAAGCCTGTGGCATATCCTTCCCCTACATGTAATCTAGTACTCTGAGAAATGTGATACTGCAGTAGTGCATAGCTAAATAGACACTATAATCTCTCTTCATGCAAATTTTAGACCAAGCTTGAGAAAAAGATGAAACCAAAGCCTGCTGGAAATGAAAATAGGGAAACATTGAGTTATTTGCAATAATTCCTAGCCTGATGGATAAATGTTGTGGTTACCTAATACCTGACCTTAGGGATTATAGTACCAGCAGTAATAACAAGTGTTTTCATGTTTGGCTGAAAGATTTTTATACCAGTTTCTGAAGGTTCTGCCTTTCACATTGTGCCTCTTCTTTTTTAATTCAATTTGCCATCAGTAATTCACAATATAACTGTGCACAGCAACACTGGGGAGGCTGACAGGTATTGTCTAGAAAGTCTGCCTTTTAAGAGTGGCTGATAAAGCATATCTAGACTGAATGCTTAATTTCAAATGAATAAATGTTTACCATGTTGCTGAGAATCTATGTTAATGTTATATTTGGACTCAAATAGTTAATCTTCTATCCATCAGTTATGAGCGTTATAAATAGATCTGTGACAAGGAGTAAATACTCTGTAGCTAGACAAATACTTTGCAACTTTCCAAAGAGAGTAGGCTGACAACATAAAACTCAGAAGACCTACTGATGGGTTTATCATGTATTTTTATACATTTTGAGGATAAAAGGTCAGAAATCCTTTTCTGCAGAAGCAGTTTACTAGCCATAGTACTGGTGAAGAGACTGTGTACACAAAGTGGGGTTCTTGATTTAGCTTGATTAGCACAAGAGAAATTACACATTTTCTTCCTCTTTTTGTAGTGCCTGTATTAGGATGAAAGATTGTCTTGAAGCTATCTTGAGAAAATACTAGCTAGAAAGAGTTGGAATGGCACAGTCTTTGTGTATGGGCAGCATACTGCTCTATCAGCAGCACCAGTATAATTCCTCTCTTCAGAAAGTTTGAATATAGAGCACTTATGAGATGAAGCTTAGACAGAGATTACTCTTGTCTAATTCAACAGAGCCTCAAAAAGAGTCTGCTTCACTTGGAATAGTTTCAGACTTCTCAATGAACATAATATTAGGTAACCAAAGATGTCACTTTTGCTAGTAAAAACTATAAAATACAGACCTACAATGCTGTAACTGGCAATTTCCAATTATTTTTCTCTCAGAAAAAGCATTCTAAAGTCAGCAAGAGTCTGCTTGGCATCCACATTAGGTTAAAAATGTACTACAAAAAATAATGAAGACTTCATAAGTATTTTTCATTGCCTTTTACAATAAAAGCTTGCCAGTTTGTCCTTATGTCTTGTCTTTGTGGACTGCAGATCAGTTCTGGGTCCTATGGAGACACAAGGCAACCACTGTACATCTACTACATATGTGAAATGTTTCTCACCATTGGCCTCCTTGCAGTTTGAATCTTGATGTTTCCGTGTTCATTCAAGCAAAACTGGCTTTGCTGTTTAAATCAGCTATAACCAGGAAATGATTAACTGAGGAAACCTGAAACCTCAGTGATATATATTAGGAGCATATTGGTTCCTGTAAAATTGGAATTGAACTATAAACAATAAAAAGGGGGAACTACTGGGGGATGGCAGGGGAAGAGCATCCAAGTGGTGTTAACAAGGGTCAGTCTTTTTTGGTTGGGAGTGTTAAACCTTCAGGTTTCTTCTTAAACTGTGTATGCACCTGTTACCTGAGATTTTTATTCCTTAAAGTACTTAGAACACAGATTTGTCTGCCATCCTGTGTCCAGTGATGATGATAAGAAACTGTTCTGGAGCGTTGAAATAACTCTGTGCAGAAATTGTATATATCACTGCTAATTTCCACGTCTGTCCAAAAAACCACAGAGATCTTCCAACATTTAAGCTCCCTACGTTGTTGAACAGTGTAGTTTATAACAGTCTCAGGAACACTGAAAACTGAGAAGAGAATGCCTAATGGGTTATCTCCATCACCTGAACATCATCTTTCAGCAATTTAATTTTTCAAGTTTTAGCACTTAAGGCCTAAAATTCCCTTAAAGTGGAAAAGTTGCTGTTTATATGTTGGATCCTCAGATTTCAATGTGTTGTGTTGACAAGAAATCATATTTGTCATTGCAGTCTGTGATGGTTGTACAGTGTTATCCCAAATGGTAATTTTTGTGTGCCTGTATCAAATGAATCAAACCTTTCACATTCAACTTTTGTTTTTAATACCTCACACCTGGCAAACTATATTTCTTCATAATTTTTTTTTTTTTTGAGTTACTCTTTCAGGTAACTTAAACAGTATATGATGATTTGCTTTTGAAGGGCTCCATCTCTCCTAGCTGCAGCTCTAAGTCCACTGTCTCATGGCCAGCAGCCACTTCTCAGATCAGTGGTCTGGCTGGCCAATACAGGGCAGAGACATTGGCATTTCTACTAAGTTTAGGATTGCATTTTGTTTTTTTCCAACAATTTTATCTGTATCCACAAATTTTGTCCTGACCAATGGCTTATGGCTAAACCTACCAACTGGATGCTGATTGCTCCTGAATGTGCATGAGAGCTGGAACTAAATAACGGGCTGAAACTTCATTAATATATTCTGGTGTTCTGTCTTTGTCACCTGATTTCACAAATTAGCAGGTAGCACAGGGACTTGTGAAGCTTTCTCTGATAGCAGGATTCCCATATTGCCATATAACTCTCTCTTACTGTGTGCTCCGGATTGCACTATTTCACAGGATAATAAATTAATGGAAAATACTTTGATTTACTTTTCTTTTAACACTCCTTTTTTTTCCCTCCCCTAAGCTATGGTAGTGGCTGGAAGAGCATATTATGATAGCCTTGCAAAGATTGGGGATATATCAGCTGATTCTCCAGTTTCTAAAGAATTAGGTAAGTGAAATCTCATTCTTTTTAAAAACTATTTAAAAATGGGAACTTTAGTTCTGTGAATTGCCAGCAGGAAAACAAAACTGATGTGAAGTAGAGAAGGACTGGAAAGTCAAATCAAAATCACCTTTTTTTTGCTGTTTTTTTTTTTTTTTTTACTTTTGTGAATATATTTCTGCCTATGCATTCAAAAGCATGTAGGGTTTTTTTAAGTTCACATAATTCTATAATAAATACAGAAAAATGTGTAGCTTCATATTTAGTACAGAGATGAATGTTGAAATATTTCTGCAACAGAATATTGCAGTGTGAGGAGTCCTAGTGTATGACAGCAGTCCTGACTCAAAACATTTTCTGGATGAGTGCCATTGTGAAGACTTCAGTTCTACTTCTGTGTTTTTCATCAAGTGTATCACTAAAAGTTCTTAGACACATTCTATTTATATTCTAGTTGAGATTTTGAAAGGGAAACTGTAGAGTGAGAGATGTAGTACATTTACATTAATGCAAAATTAATCCAAGTTCTATACTTTCTTGAAAATAATTTCTGAATTTTTGAAGAATCATCATTTTGTTTTCCTTTGGCTAGCATTGAAACTGTAGTGCTCAATCTACAAAAGTGAAGTTGTAAAGAAAGTATTTGTAATACCTCTGACAGAAGATTCTAACATCAGTACAAAACAAAGAAGCAGGAACTACACTGTAAAGAGGAAACATTTGCTTAAGGCCTTCATTTGCTTTTTTACAAAAATAACTTGATAAATTGTCTTGTCTCTGAAGTTTGATAATGGGCACTGTAGGACTCAGGAGTGTAATGTGTCTGCTCTGTAACTCAAAACAGTATGTTCATTCAGCTGATTAAAAAAGGATGGTTTTAGTTAACTTTCTTTTTACTGATTCCGATGAAGTAGAATTGAGGGGGAAAATTCTACTTGAATAGTGGCCCCTAGTTTCTATGTGCCTGCATATATAAATTTTTTTTTTTTAATTTTTTTTAAGGAACTGTTCTGAAACCACTTTTGTGTGAGTGTTAGTGTTCTGTGTTGAAAGCTGGGAGTGGCAGAACAGCAAACAGGGCAAAGCAAACAGTCCCAATGTAGTCACTTTCTGTATTTGCTTTGCAGGTTGTTTACAGGAAGCAATGTTGCTGGTTTCAAGCTATAGAACAGAAAAGTATGAGAAAGTTAAAAGTGACAGCCATGCAGAGTCTTATAACAATACCAACAAATGCATAATTAAAATTTTGCAATCAAGCAGTTGGTCAAATGCATGGAAGTAATCTGCTGAGCTTTGTGTGACTGTGGGATACTGTCTTTGTGTTTGAAAATATTATTGTTGGGTAGTCTTGAGCTGAATTCTGCAAACAACTGGCTTTCCCTATTTTGGGAGACAATACAGATTTCTGATTGAAAATATACTTTTGTTTAAGTATGAATTCTTCCCTGGAATTATAAACCTTTTTCTAGATACACTGTGTTGAGAAAACACAGCCCTCCTCAAGGCCAGGCCTCTTAACTCTGCCTTCTGTTCATCTTCTACTTAAACTGTGACTGCAGAAAAATCTTTTCTTCTCAAGGAAAATGGCAGCTCTGGATTTCTTCCAGCTTGCTCTCTGCTAGAGATAAGGGAAGTCAGTGACCATTGGAAAAGGCAGGATAATGTGGTTAGAAATCTGTGAGACATCATTTGCATTTTCTTGAAAAGGTCTTAGTGGTTCTGAAGCTGGGCTGCAATACTGAATTATTTAGCAAAGAAATACGATACACCCCAGATGTCTTTAAAACTAATCTTAGCTTAAAAAGGAGGAAAAAATAAATTTAAAAAAAAAAACAAACCTTACTGCACCTTTTAGTACTTTAAAGACATGAAGATGCATGCTGAGCAGTGTTGGACGTGTCAGGACCACATCAGACTCTGCTGTGACTCGCTTGGTTGTGGACCCTGTTAACTGCAGTGGTGAAACCCTAGGCACAGCCCACTGTACAGTTCTCCTCTGTGCATTCCTTTAGACCTGCCAAAGGAGATGGTATTGACCACTAGCAGCTCTGTCATGCATAATACTTCTGTTACCTTTGCCAAAGAAGAGGTCAGTAGTCATCAGTTAAGTTTTGTGATATGCCTGTAAACTGCTTTTCTGGAATGTATTCTCTTGAGCATCAAGTGAGCTGACACGCTGGCTTGTTTTGTAAGAGCAGCAGTTTAAAGGTGTCTGGCAAAGAAGGAGAGAGGAGCAATTTCCGTAATTTTATGTGTGTGTATGATCTGGAATATTTCTTTAACTTTTTCCTTTTTTAAAAATTATATTATAAGGCCTCTGCCTGTATCCTGTATTAACTGAAATAAATAGCAACATTCCCACAGACTTCAGTAGGAGATCATTATACTTTAATACTTAAGACATTATCCTGGCTCTTCACGATAAATTAGATAAATCAAAGATGACCAAGTTCTAAAGCATTTTGGAACGCTTTATATCTGAGCACAAACTAAGGTACTGTGACCTGGATTTCCAGTGTTTAGATCTTTTGAGAACCAGAAAACGTAAATGTTTTCATTTGAGTAATAAAAAATTGAAACATCCAAAGTAAATATTTAAACTAATGTTTGAAACTAATCTGTTTTAAAACCAAACAAGCCCCTCCCCTCCATGGCTTACCAATTTAACCACCATCAGGGCAACTCTAAGTCCACAGTGGTGTTTTTTTACCTCATTGTATCATCTGCAGCAGAACTGAAGGGAAAGCCTGTCTGCCAGTTAATTATCTTTGACTCATCTTAAATGTATGTGCCTCCTGTATTAGCTTTGTGTTTCAACCATCAGCCACTAGGTACTTTTTGGCTGTAAAAGAAGGTGTTAGAAAAAGATTCCTGTTTTCCCCTTTCCCTGATAGTTAGCATATCAAGCTGTAACTTTGGCAGATACAGCTCATACTAAAATATTTTTTCTGAATTAATGAGCGGGGGAATGAGGCAGGAACCAAGGTTTCGGGTCTTGCCTGTAGCAACTTCACCTTTAGTAGTGGCAGATGAAAAATAATGTATTCCTCTAAATTCTGTTGAGGTGCATTAAACTCCTTACACTTCATTATGAAAAGGCTACAAGGCTCAGATAGGTAAAACACAACATTCTTCAGAGTTTATGGAGAGTATTTACTGGAATATTGCACTGAGTCATTTTGCAGTTCAAACCCAAACCTGCTGGGTGACCTAGAGCGTATTTACTGCCAAGTGTGATGTAAAGATTTATATCAAAACCACAGTCAATCCTTCTTTCTCATAAGGAAATGCAGAACATGGTCTTTCTTTAATGAGACAGTAAAATGGATACCAACCCCACAGCAGGGTAAAAACAGAAATGGAAAAGAAGCAGGGAAGAAAATTTTTAAAGTAGAGGGTGACATGCATAGAGGGCAGAGAAGTAGCAGGGCAAAAATAATGAAGTAAAAATGCCAGAAAGTGCTTTCTTCTGTTGAATGAGATTGGTGCAGAGGAGGGAAACAAGAGCGTGAAATGGGAATTGGATATTCCAGCTGACTCAGAGCTTTTCTCTCAATTCTGTATCTCTCAATTCTGGTTGAAGTCCTCTGAATTATTTTAATACAGAATAACTTAATATGAGTAAGTTTATGAGTATGAATATGAGTCCTTATACATCCTTATGAATAAAGGATAAGTTGATTAGGGGAATATTCTGTTTAATTGTTTCTTTACCTGTGTTTCTAAGCTTGTAGTCACTTGAATTTGTGTGGTTCAGGTTATTTTGCAATATGGAATTTGTGTGTCTTCTTTCTTTGGCACCTTTTGGAAATCCCATGAGGAAGAAAACAGGAAACTGCACATTTGAAAATGTTAAGATTTCATGCTGCTCAAATTGCAGCGTACCACATCAGCACCATAAAACTTTGGGTTTCCATAAAGCACTGAAAGTAATTTCACATAGATACTATACCACTGTTACAGTGTTAGAATAGTAACTTCCATGGTGTGGTGTTAATCCTTTTTGTCTTGCCCAAAATACAGGTTTATGAGGCTTTGTCTTATCAATTTTTAGTGCTTATAATTTCAATAAACTGTCTTCTAGTAACATAGGCTGCCTTTGTAGCCTTCACTTGCTCAAGGAATCAGGAAGTTACTTCCTGCTTGCTCATTGAATACTACCTTGTATCTTCCCAGCTGTCCTCTTTAGACCAGCCAGTAATTGTAGCTACAGCTCATTTATTATGTTGTGGGTGTAAAGTCCCAATTTGTTGTGTAGCAACTGTATCTATAGCAGTCACTCACAATTGTATTATGGGTCTGTACCTAGAGCTTATGGCTCACAAACTGATGAGTTCATTGTTCATTGCTTGTCAAAATATATTTTAAAAAAAAATGTAAAAAATACTGCATTGCATGTTCTTGACTAATGGAACTAAATTGCAGATGTTCAGCATGTTAAAAGGAAAACCAGAGGAGACAAAAAAAAAAACCCTCATCCCTAATCTAACCAAGACTGATAATTTCTTTCAAGGTTACTCTGTTATATGTTTATTTTTATTACAGTCTCATTCTGTTAAAACTTATCTGGAAACAGGTATGCAAAAGCTTATGCTCACCTACAGCCTGAAGTGTAAGAATTTGGGAAAATTTAGGTTCTTTACAGGAGAAATTTTCTGGCTGAAAGCCACTACAGGTAATCAAGATTGCTCTGTGTTGTGGTGGTCACAAGGTAGGGAGAAAAACAACCAATCAACCAAAACCTTCTAGTGGTGTACATAGCAAGTGGAATTCTTGCCTGAGAGAGGATGAGCTCTGAACTTGATGTTCCTCTTATGCACAAAAGGACAATTCTGTAGGTCTAAAAGACAATGTTTGAACATATTCATGAAATGCAGGTTTGCTCATGAAGTGGGGCAACTTTAAAGGTCTCCACAGCTGTGTGAAATACAAAATTTGAATTTTGAAGTGATATAATAATACAGTAACTACAGTAATAGTATGATCTGGATAACCTGGGGCAGAGG